AAAGCTCTTCTCTATGGAACTGGCCCGAACTGTAGGACTATTTGTGCCAGATCAACATTTGATATTTCTTAGAAAGAAAATGGAATATCCATTTCTAATCCAGAAATTCCCCGCCAGCTCCAATACATTTGTCTGTACCTGGTCCACATAGCTGGAGCATACCTCTTAAACCTGAGCCGCCTGGGCCTCGTCTTGCTGCTGCTGCAGTACTCCACCGAGTTCCTCTTCCACATGGCTTGACTCTTCTACTTTGCAGACGAGAACAATGAGAAGCTGTTTAATGCCTGGGCTGCTGTATTTGGAATCACGCACCTCTTCATCCTCACACTTGCCGTGCTGGCCATTGGCTTTGGACTTGCTCGTATGGAAAACCAGGCCTTTGACCCCGAGAAAGGGAACTTCAACACCTTACTTTGCAGGCTCTGTGTGCTGCTGCTGGTGTGTGCCGCCCAGGCCTGGCTCATGTGGCGCTTCATCCACTCCCAGCTGCGGCGTTGGCGGGAATACTGGAAAGAGCAGAGCGCCAAGCGGAGAGTCCCAGCTGCCCCCAGACTGCCAGCCAGGCTCATCAAGAGGGAATCTGGTTACCATGAAAACGGAGTGGTGAAAGCGGAGAATGGGACCTCCCCACGGACTAAGAAACTCAAGTCTCCTTGAGGCCAAAGTGCCGGAACAGGGATCCTGTCGTGGGCGCCCAGCAGGAAGGTGGGGAGCCCGGCCCCCGCCACTGCCTCCCCCACCCAACTCCTGATGCTGCGTCTCAAGCAGCAGGAACCTGTCTTCGAACGGGGCTTTTCTTCTTTCTTCTTTCTTGGTTTTCTCTCCTTCCTCTTCCATAAACCATTCTCAATAAAACCAAAACTCTTCTTCTTTCTCTCCCTCAAAAAAAACCCACAGGTGAGAGGCCAAGGCCGAGAAGGAATTGTTCACAGTCAGACATTTGAATCAAAACTCTGAGGATAGTCCTTACCTCATTCTTAATATATCATTTTCATTCTTATATATCATTTCATTTTTTCATTCTTATAAAAGAATGTTTTTCATTCTTATATATCATTAAGGCTGTCCAGTTGGATTTTCAAAAGCAAAATTCCTACAGCTTGACCTGGTTATTTATGTTGTCTAACATGTGGCTTGGTTGCTACCACCCTTCCCATCCTTACCAAGAAGACTGGGAATACACATGGCAGGGAAGGAACTCTAGATTTCTGAGGCTGAAGCTTCAAATTGCTCCAGATGGTAAGATACGTAGAGTCCCATAAGTAACAAATATATGGAACATGTAGTTCAAAGTTCCCACAGATGCTGTGCAAGCCTGTGAGCAGAGAAACTGTTGAACAGATGTTTTATTTAATCTTCAGCAACAGGTGACGTATGACAACCCATATCCCATAGAGCACAGAGCACCCATTTCGGAGTATGGGGCCTTCACAGCCTAGTAATACTGGATCATTCAGGGTGGAGAGAGAAGGTGTTGGGACAAGAGATCTGACCTCCAGGTTGCCTCACAGCTGCCCTCTGTCCATCCCAAATTTCTTATAATCCGGTAAGGCCACCTGCAGCACAGGTCTGAGAAAAGGTGGGGGGAGCATTCAGTACAGGCCTGTGCCTTCTCCCAACCTGTGCCTTCCTGTTACCTGGGTGAGGGATCTGTGCCAATTTAGCGATTTAATTCAAGGGCACCTTGTGCAGTGTTCATGTCCGGGCAGATCCACTAGATGGGGGCCAAGACAAAAGTACCAACGGAAGCCCATGTGCCATATGGGGAAATAGTTAAAAGGTATACAGTAAGCTAACACGCTGTTGAATAAAATACGTTCCAATCTGCCACTTTCACACAAATGTTCCGGTAAGAATTGAAACCCAGGTATAGATTTACAATCCTAGCCTGCTCAGAGTTCTGTCCTGGCCCCTGGCCCTGGCCCGAGGCAGCCCTGGTGTCTCCCTCCCACCCTGTAGCCCTTTCCTTCCAATCCGAGCTCTGGTTTTCGCCGCAAGGGGCTTCTTCTCGCCTGTGGGTGAATTCCCCAGTGTGCCCTCCCGGGACCCCTTCACTAATCTACCCACACAGATTCACGGAGGGCCACCCCTTGCGCCCAGGGATGTGCAGTCCTGATGCCGCTTGCCTCTAGGAGGGGTGCACAAATGCCCTTTACGTGGGTGAAGGTCATCTGGGTAGGAAACACTAGATTTCCAACTACTAAGACCAAGTGAAAGGAGGGTCAGGATGGGCCCCTCTGAGCCAGGCTCCTCTTTGCTGGGACTAAAGGGCTCCCTCTAGGCTGGTACCGGGTCAGAAACAAATCACTCCTGTATCAGAGTGGGGAAGTCTAATCGCTGTCTTAGAAAGAGCGATACTTTCTATATTAGCTGAACCTTCAGACAAATTTTTTTTTAAGTTTTATGCTCATTAATGGTGTTGATGGAAGGATTATCTTTTTATTCTTGCGGGAAAGTTGACAACACAAGAGCTGGGACCTTGGTGTGTAAACAACTTCGTACCCACTTTTCACCCCGATCCTGTTCTCAAAGACATAGTCTGGGAGATGGAACCCGCTTTGCAAGAATGCTGGGAAGCAGCAGAGGAATAAAAATCCACTGAGTAGGGGTTTCTTCAAAGGAATAAACCCTTTAGAAGAATTTGAGAATCCAGATTAAAAAGAACATTTCATTTCCATTTGTTATATACCTAAAAGTGAATTTTTATTAAAAGCAGATCACATCACTTCAGGAAATTCAGAAAACTATATCTAAATACATGGAACGCAAGATATTCCTCATCAATTTAGATTCTTATAGCCTCATAAAGATAAAATGCAGATGAATTGATTTAGATCAAGCCTTCATTAAATTTTTGAATTAGCTTTTGGAATCCCATGTATTGCAATGTGCAGAGTCTGATTCCTGAGCATTGTGACAAAGCCATGAGTGGATAATGATAAAGTGCATCGTTGCTAGAAATAACACAGTCTGCCTTTGGTTTGTGCTAATAAACTATAAGACAACCTAAATTCCAATTTTAATATGAGAAATCCACCTCATTATAAGTAATCTCAAACTCTGTATGTTATCAGCATTTTCATGTGTATTCTTTGGTGAGTCTGAAATATAATTTGCTGTTTATGCTTCTAATGTAAATCTCCAATTTCTGGTTGGCCACTCTGGCACTAAGCCAGAGCTCTAATTTATTTCCATCTTCCCTTATTTCTTACATCAAAAGAGACTGTTGGTTTGAATAACAAACATTCAATCGACTTAGACGTGGGGTGGCAGGCAGCACAGGCATTACCTGTTTACCTTTTATTGCCTTTTTTGAATTGGCTTTTCTGGGAACAAAACCAATAAGACGTGATGTTCCTTCATCTAGTTTTTACCCAGGTTATTTATCAGAAGACACCCCCTTCCCCACCGCATGGTGGGGTGAAGAGCTCAGCCTGGAAGCAGGCTTCCAACCTAACACTATCACATAGGACTTCATTGTCCGAACGACCCTGGCCTGGGCTGACAACACTGTTTTGGACTCCAAGGGATGCTGCCGCTAACACATCTGTAACCTGTCGGACAACAGCGTGCTGGGAACGGAGCACACACTCTTTGAGCCACTGCGAGACCTGGCAAGGGTTCCCCTGCACCCCTCCCCCCTTGCTGTCTTGCACAGTAATTGGCCTGATAAAAGGCAGAAACAATTTATTACGCCTTGGGTGGTACATAAAACAAACTTTATTCTCAGGAACAGCAGTTATGCCTACTTGCTGCTGTAATATTTTGATATTTCCTCTAAATACGAAGTCTGAATATATTCAATCAAATTGCTAATCGCTCAATTTCCCTGCGACTTCCCTGGCTCTCCAGGTTGCCTCTCGTGATGCTCCACGTAAACACTGTATTTGCAAAGATACATAGATCAGCATCCCTACAGTCACATGAGCACATCAATCTGTGAAAATAGCATGACTTAAAAATCAAGTCTCTTAGTACTCTGCCAACAGGCTTTGGCATGATCTTGGCAATCACTTAGATTTTTTTTTTTTTGCTGTTATAATTTTTCCCAAGTGGAAATAGTCTCATATTTTGCAGAAGTTGTCCAAGCTAGTGAACATCGATCCATCTTCCTGGGTACTAAAATCGTCAGCTGAATGTATTCAGTCCACATAGAAACCAGTAAAGGGAGAGTGGAACTGCTTGGTTGGCTGCTCCTCTCATCTTAAGAAATTGCAATACAAATTCCTGAAATCATTTATGCAGGAATTTTTATTCTTTAAATCTTCCAGTGTTAAAGCAACAAGAAAACACTTAGAATGTCCTTTGGTGGAATCTTATTACACTTGTTATATATGTAAACTGATATTCTTTGATGCCAGCACGATTCGTTGCCCTTACAGAGAAATCTCTGCACAATGAAACAAAACAGAACGAAAAAGAGGACAAAGTAAAATGTCAGTCTTTGCTGCTTCGAATTAGATACATTAACAGATTGTCTGGTAACACAAATTGGCAAGAATACAAAAAATCTACATCTTACAGTATTTCAAGAAAAATAACTTCATTTGAATACAAAAGGATAGATACACTTTCTTTTTGTTGTTGTTGTTGTTTCCTATAGCCACTCTTGGACGGTGGGTGTGTGCTCGCACTGGGGTGACTCAGTGCTGCTAAGATACACGGGGTATGACTGGCTTCAGCTTTTGGGGGGGCTGTTACACGTGTGCAATACTAACATCGGACAAAGAAATCTTTCAACCAACAAGGGTTACAGAGCAACGTTCACTAAAGCACAGGTTGGAGGGGGTTCGGGGCCGAAGCAGGCCAGTCTGGCAGCTGGTGGCCGGTGTCCTCCGGCCCCGGCGAAGAGCGCCCGGCCGGGGTGGGCGCCCGCGGGCTCGCGGTCGTGCAGGGCGTGCGCGGTCCTTCCAGGCTGCCCCGGGCCTCGCCGCTCGGGGGCGCGGCTGCCCACGCCGCCGGGTCCCCCGGACGCGCCGTCCACGCCTGGGGGATATGGCTTAGTCCACGTAGGCCTCCTGACTGTGCTCGGTGCTCCAGCGGGGCGGCGGGGTCCCCGTGGCGTCGGCAGGTGCCCGCGGGCGCTGGCCTCCCTGCCGCGGCGGTCCGGGTCCGGGGGCGTCCGGGTCCGGAGGGCGGGGTCCGAGTCCAAGTCCGGGTCCGGGTCCGGAGGGCGGGGTCCGAGTCCGGGTCCGGGTCTGGGTCCGGGGTCTGGGTCCGGGTCCGGGGGGGTGGTCCGGGACGGGTCCAGGGCGGGTCTGGCTCCGGGGTGGGGGGCCCTGGGGTGGGGTGGGGTGGGGTCCGGGCCCAGGGGTGGGGTCCGGGGTGGGTCCGGAGGGGGTGGTGGGTCCGGGTCTGGGTCCGGGGGTGGGGTGGGGTCGGGGTGGGGGGTGCGGGCCTGAGACCGGGGTGGGAGTGAGGGGGTCTGGGGTGGGGTGGGGTCCAGGTTCGGGTCCGGGGGCGGGTCTCTGGGTTCGGGTTGGGGGAGACCCGGGGGGTGGTCCGGGTCCAGGGGCGGGTCTCTGGGTCCGGGGCAGGTCGGGGTTGGATGGGGTCCGGGGTGGGGGAGATCCGGGGGGTGGTCCGGGTCGGGGGGCGGGTCTCTGGATCCGGGTCCGGGGGAGGGGGGTCCGGGGGGGCGGTCCGGGGTGGGTGGGGGCCCCGGGCCCGGCCGGGTGGGGCGGCTCACAGCAGCGGGGGCCCGGCGGCGCGGAGCAGCGCGGCCAGCAGCAGCAGCAGCAGCAGCGGGGGCGCGGGGCCGCGGGGCGGGCGGGCGGCGAGGCCCGCGCGGGAGCCGCAGCCCGCGTCCTGGCAGCGCGGCTTCTCGCACAGGACGCCGGTGTAGGCGGCGGGGCACAGGCAGCGCACGTTGTTGTGGCACGTCCCCCCGTTCTGGCAGTGCAGGAGCTCGTTGTCGCAGACGTTCGCTGCAGGGCCGGGCCGCGGGGAGGACAAGCAGAAGCAATTTCAGGTCACCCGGTACATCACGGTTCCAGCTTAAAAAACAAGATCTCAGGGGGGCCGCCGTCCCCCCCCCCCGCCTTCCCCCCCGCCCCAACTAAGCCCGTGACTCCCAATTTCCAAGCCAATGTAGTTTGCTGCCTTTGTGGCTTATTTTTACGCTGCTTTGATCACATTTGTCCCTTTCGTAGACATTCTGGCTGCGACCTTGGACGCTGTCGTCGCCCGTTTCGGGCCACCGGGCACAAGGGAATGGGAAGCCCTGATCGGCCAGGTGTCCTTCCTCCGTAGAAGTGGGGCCCGTTGGGGCCTCCTGCTTCTTTACAGGACAAGTGCCCGCTCCAAGAATGCGGAGTCTTAAAGCCAGATGGATGGTAGTTCCCACGCAAAGCAGTATTGCTAAAATGACCAAGAACCTCGGAAGGGGTGGGCCATTCTCCCTGCATGTGCATGCGGGAAGGCAGAGCCAAAGGGGAAGCATGAGGGGCGGGGGGGGTGGTGGTGGTAGGGGGGCAGAAGGGAGGGAAGGGGGCTGGGAGGACGGGGGGGGGCAGGGGGGCGGGAGGGGGTAGAGGGAGGGCAGGGGGAGGGCAGGGGTACTGGGGGAGGGGGCGGGCAGCATGCTCCAGGCAGGCGCAGCCACATCAGAAGAGAGAAAGTGGTTCCATGGGAGGAGAGTGAGGACGAGCACTCAGTCACATTTGCCCCTGACAAGCCTATCAGGATATTCATTGCCTGGTAAATGTGGGAAGTCGAGTCCAAGGTTACCTTGATTTCCCAGAATAATAAACAATGCGGTGATGAGACCCTGATTACCAGAATTTCACTATGTCCGTCAATTAATAGAATCGGTTTGAATAAATCAAGCAAGCAATTCCAGATACTAAAATTCATTCATGGTCCCTGTCATCTAATTTTCATCTCTAATAATTACTTATTTCAAAGTTCTGGTTATCCTCATTAAGTCCATGTCTCCTATTCTTTTAGATAATCAAGGTTTCACTGATTTAGCAGAATGTTAAATAGAACCCAGGGAAATTAAAATAACAACAAAGAGTAAAAGAGCCAAGAACACTTCCCAGCAACATATGCTGCTTAAGCACTTAATATATAGAACCACACTCTGGAGTGAGGGGTAGGGGCAGAGCAGAAAAGGTAGATTTTTATAAATTATAACATTTTTCATTTTTAAAGGATGTCATGGTCAAATTTCCCCAGGGGTACCACATGAATTAAACACACACACACATACACACGTGCACACACACACTTAATATTACTATCAAGGTGCAAAGTATTAAAAAAATCTCCCAAGTAGTAATTCAATAGAGAATGTTACTTGTCCATTAATCATGTTCAGTAGTCATGTCACCTTCAAAAGACACTTCCTAGACACAAATGTGCTAATGCCCTGCGTGCAAATGAGCTGAGGAAAGATGGTAGTGGACGATCCCAGAGTTAATAACAAAGTGCCCTAAATGGGGCCTTGTTTTACCTTCTTCTACAGTAATTCCTTGGCGACCTCTAAGACAGCTGCATAATGTATTGGTACAATTTTCAAAAGTACCCACACTTGCTGTCTGTAAATGTCAGAAGTGACTATTGAGGCCTACTACATCCTTCAGGCTCCAAATATTGACATACAAGGTGGTGTTCCAGAGGTTCTAATGATTATATAAGCTGTCTCTCAGTGGGTGGTAGAAATCTTGAATATTAGACCCAAATTATAGTATTTTATGCATCATGGTTAAAAATGTCAAGAGCTGTAGCTGTGAGGCAAAATCTCCAAGTGTAGAGTGGTTAAACTCCTGGTCAAAACCGGTTGTTGTTAATTTGAGAAACATATATAGGTTTTCAGCATATTTTGTTTTGCTTACACTTCAGGAAATATGCTTAATTGGGGTAACATGGAATAACTAGATCCAAATAACTGTTCCCATTTACAGTTAAAGATTCTCAGCATTTCTTGTTCCAGGCAGCACATTGCTGAATGGGATATTTCCTTTCATTTGGGCACTAGAGGTAGGAAAATATCTGTTCTATCAATATCGATAATTGCTTGCCTTGAATAATTGAGAAGAAATCAATAGTTAATTAAATATTGCTCCCCCCTTTTTAAAAAAAAGCTATTTTTTCTTCTTGGACTTGAATGTAAATCAGTTGTTGAACAGAGCTTTCTCTTTCTTTCTTTCTTTCTTTTTTTTTTTCAAGAAGCTGGTGATTAAGTTAAAATCCAATACCTTTCCTACATTTAGATAATCTGCTAGTTGATATTGGTGACTGTAAGAAATTCATTAACTATGCAAGGAACAGATGTAACAAAAGGATTAATAATATCATGGATTGGAGAACTACACTTTTTCTGCAAGAAATAAACAGAAAAATCAAATCTAGAATATATTTCATTATTTAGAATTCACTATAAGACTTTCTACATTTAGACTCCTGTTTGTGCTATTCAACAAACACAGAACTTCCCTGTATGTACAGCGTTCTGTTGGGCTTATGTGCTAGAAGCACATCTGAACCTAGCTACGGATCCTACCTGCTATTCATGAATTCATCCTCCGTCTTCATGTCTTTTTGAACCAGATTTGTGGTGCTTAATGAATAAACTAGGTGACTAACAAATATCACTGAGCGCTTCTTCAGCATATGAAGCTTTGTACTAAACACCGTGAACAAATAACAAATGATAAAGCACGATCTCTGCTCTTACGGAGTTCAAGCCTGGTTGGCAAGATAAAATATATGCAAGAAATGATCTAATAGTAATTTCATTAGCATGCCTTTGTCAATTCCATCCACCTCAGCCAACATCTGTTGTGTGCCGGGCACCCTGCTTGATTGTACGGCTGTAACTCTACCTGCCCTGAAGGAGCTCACAGTTTGGCAGAAAACAAAAAGAGAGAACATGCAGAAATAACTGTGATGCAAAAAAAAGAGAATAAAAGACGTATTTGCAAAATGCTAGGGGAACTGAGATGCTGATGTAAATAATCATTTGGGGGCAGATTAGAAAAGACGATGGGAAGGAGATTGTGTTTGAACAATGGTGCACTCCAGGCAGATACTGGTAGAAGGGGCGTCATGGTTGGGGAGACTGTATGAGCACAGACAAAGAGACGTGCAGGGGCAGAGTGCTGCTTATTATGCCACTGTCTCTCAACTCTCAATCCACCCTTCCTTCTGCAAGCTGGCTCCTGGCTTCCACTGTAGGGGCCACTAGAGGCACAAGAGATGGTGAAGGGATTTCCTTTTACCCATTTGATGGCTCTTCCTAACAGTGTCACTCGATGATGGCAGTATAGCAGCATTTGGTCCCCATGTGTAGCTTTATTCAGAAACAGCTTTATTCCCACCCTTGGAAGGTTCCTTCCTACGCCAACTCAGCAGCATTCCTTCCCTGGATGTTCAAGCTCAGCTCTGAGGGGCCCTGCCCAGGTTTCAGAGGTACCAGCCAGCACCCTGGCACTATGTCTTCTCAGAGATGCAGGTCCCATATCTGTGGGGTCTCCCCTCCGTCCTGTTAGTTTCTAATCACCCATCCTCTTTCCTATTTTCCCTCTGCCCAGGAGTAGTGCTGCTCCCTGCTTACACAGTTACTAACTCTACAAGAGGGACTACAGTGCTCTCTTATCATTTCTAAATTCCAAAACACCTGCTTAATTGCTCTCTCAGGTTTTCTGACAAGGGCCTGAGGGAGAGACACATGGAACACACTAGCAAGTGGACTGGTGTGGCCTGAGCGTTGGATGTGCAACAGGGCAAATGGAGACCAGAGAGGCAGGCTGCCGTCTGGTTATGTAGGTTCTACATAACACACACCACAGAGTTTATTTAGACAATAGGCAACGGGAAGTGGCCAGAGACCTATGTGTGGGGTGGTGTTTTAATGGGGAGAAAAACAGGTGAGGCTTGGCCAGAGGAAGGACAGACTGGAGGCGAGGAGCCTGGATGCTTCAACAGAATGGGCTTGGTCTGGTTAGAGCAATGGGGAGAGAGAGGGGATAGATTTGGATGGAGGTGGTTTGAAGTGGATACAAGAGATTCTGAGGTTCCTGTTTTCAGTATTTGGATCCATCAAAATATAATTTATTAAGAAAAGTAGTTGGAGGAAGACTTTGATCAGGGAAGAAAATGCACCTTTTTGGACCTAATGACTTTGAGGGGGTCTGTAGGCTCTTCTTCTGGGCTCTTTTTCTTAGTTAGAAAAACTAGTTAATCATTCAGGAGGTAGGTCATCGTGGAGATGTGGGTTTGGAGCAGGAGTGATGTTGGTCATTGTTAGAAAAAGTGAAGTGAAGAGTACAGAAGACCCAATCTTGGTAGAATATAAAGTAAGGACAAATGAAGGCTCCAGATAGAACACTGAAGAATGTCAGCATTTAGGCCACTGGAAGTGAATGAAAAGCCCTCATGAAGGGTCCTGAGAAGAAAAGGTATCAACAAGATGCAGTGATCATATGAGGGGATAAAATCAGTCCTAGAAGTCTTCCTGCAGTGGGTGACTGTATCTAGGGATAAATAAACAGACTGGGAGAGTGTGAGAGGAAGGGTGGCACATGGAGTTGGGTGAAGGAAATTACAAAATAGGCATTACGTGTTCTTGACTGAATCTGACAGAAGGGATTTTGGAATAGCTAAAACAAGGTTTGGAGAAATTTAAGGAATAAACATTTAACAGAGGTCTTTGGTTGTCAGTCTAAGGTAGCGCTTTTCAACAGTGGATGTTTTTGTCTCCCAGGGGACATTTGACAATGTCTTCAGACATTTGGTTGTCACACCTCAGGGGAGGGCATGCTATTGGCTTCTGGTAGACAGAAGCCAGGGATGCTGCTAAATATCCTGCAATGCACAGGACAGCCCCCTACAACAAAGAATAATCCCTCTTCAATTAATGTTGATGGCAAAATGATGACGTTCTGGATCAGGGTGTCAGCCATAACAATGAAGAGGAATAATT